CTTATTTTTTTAAAAAAAAGGAGTGGGGTTTGGCTCACAGTTTTGGAGCCTCCAGATTATGATTCATGAACCCCATTGCTTTGGGCTTGTGGAAGCCCATCATGGAGGGAGACCTGGGGGAGCAAGACTGCAGGCTCACAACCAGGAAGTGAGAGAGAAAGAAGAAGAGACTGAGGTCCCGATACTCAAGAGCTCGCCCCACTAGGCCCCAGTTCTTAAAATCCCCACCACATTCCAATAGCACCAAGCTGGGGACCAGGCCTTTTTCCTATGGGCCCTTAGGGGACATGTAAGATTCAAACTGTAGCAATTATCATGGAATTTCTTTTGATTTTTTTTTCCTTCTTAATAGTGGTCAAATACACATACCATAAAATTGACCATTTTTAAATGTATATTTTAGTAGCATTCAGTACCTTGACACTGTGGCACAAACATCACCACCGCCCATCCAGAGAATTCTCATCCTGCAAAACTGAAACTCTGTACCACATTAAACTCTTCCTTCCCAATCCCTGCTCCCCTCAGTGCCTGGGAAGCACTCTGCTTTCTGTCTATGAATTCAGCCCCTCTTAGTCCCTCATATAAGTTGATCCATACAGTATTTGTCCTTCGGTAACTGGTATTTTTCCCCTTAGCATCATGTCCTCAAGGTCCATCCGTATGGTACCATGTGTCAGAATCTCTTTCCTTATTAAGACTGAATGATTCTCCATAGCACGGATAGGCCACATCTTATTTACTTTTCATCCATCAATGGACATACACATAGCTTCTACCTCTTAGCTATTGTGAATAATACCAGCACTGTGAACATGGGTATGCGAATATCTCTTTAAGTCTCTATTTTCAGTTATTTTGGGTGTGTACCTAGGATTTGGACTTGCAAATTAACTTTTCAAGGAATTTCCATACTGTTTTCCACAGCATCTGCACCACTTTACATTCCTACCAGCCATGCACAAGAGTTCCAGTTCCATCTCATTCTTGCCAACACTTGTTATTTCCTGGGATTTTTTTTGTCGATGGTGTTTTGTTTTTTTTAATTTTTTAGTTTTAGGTGGACACAATATCTTTATTTTATTCCTATGTGGTGCTGAGAATCGAACCCAGGGCCTCACGCATGCCAGGCGAGCACGCTACCACTTGAACCACATCCCCAGCCCCTGTTGGTGGTGTTTTAATAATAGTTATCCTAATGGATACGAGGTGATACATGCTCTGGGTTTTTTATAATCTCATTTTTTGCAGATATTATTTACAATTTGGATCATGTATATTTATAGTTTGTTATTTATAATTCATCATCATTCATTGATTTTTATCTGTTTCGCTCCCCAAACATCCAGCATTCCAAATCAGAAGCATGACTTGTCCCAAGTTATGCCCATGGCTGCACCTCGCACTCCCAAAGGGCTCAACAGCCGAGCAGGGAAATGTACCAGATAAAGCTTTGAAGTGACAGCCCTGGGACCCCAGCCCTCAGTGAGACTGTGGCCTAGGGCAGGTCACTTCCCTCCTGGGCTATTTCCTGTCCCTAGAAACAGGAACACTACCAACGCCTTAACTCCTTTGCAGAGTTGGAGTCCTGGAGCTAATAAGGCTCTTGGAATTTTTACAGCAAGAGCGAAACCTCTGAGCTTGTCAGGATAAAAAATGCAGAAAGAGAAAAGGGGAGGGTGCCCGCTTCTTAGTAACGCGTGTAGGCGATTTCAGAGCTCAAGTTCATGGGAACAAATTGAATTACGGAGGAGGCAGCGCTTGCTATTTGCAACCATGGATTGTTTGAAATCCTTTTAGAGGAAAATTAAAATATTTCACAGAGGGTAATAAAATGTTGGGTGTTTTGCAGGCATGACTGCTCAGCTCTCTTGGGCAAATAAGTAATTAGGCATTTTTATTTAAGTCCTTGGAGTTTTCTTTCATTAGTGGAGAGGGGGGAAAAAAAACAGTTGTGGAACATACATAAAACTCTGGAAATCACCAGAAAGTTAATTATAAAATTGTATTTTATATATATTACACTGGAGCCTAACAACATATTGTGGAAACAAAAAGAAGCTCTTAGAATTTATTTTCCTAATGCCAGAAATGGGAAGTCGTATCAAAGATTTCTCTGCTTCCAAGTGAAATCTCATCATGGAGCGTGGAGAGGGCAACTCTTCAAGGTGCTTGATGCTGAGACGTAGGTTAATGTGGTCATGGGACCTGGGAAGATGTTCTGAGCCTTGTCCCCTTCCCTGGTCCCCAGATCACCTGCTGACGGACCTTCTCCCCTCCACCATCCCTCACCAAAGTCTACTTTAAGGAAAGCTTTGATTTCTCTCTCGGAAACCATCTGCTCCTACCCGTTCCATTTCACAGATGGAGAAACTGAGGACATGTTTATGTTCTAAGTCTCTTTCCTTCCTGGGTCTCAGGACCACTGTGTGTGTCAATAATTGTGTCTCCACGTGACTGGGACCTGCCTCCTGGGCCTGAACCTCAACTGCAGAAGGGGAGAACAGGCCCAGGACATAACTGACGATGGAGGGTCCCTACAAAGCTAGCATCTTCTTGAATCCCTGTTCTTCCTGCCCACCCTGCTCTTTTGAGCAATCTCGAGGAAGCTGAGGACCAGGGTGCAAGGCTGATCTGAGACCCGTGAAATGTCACTACTGGGACGGAGGAGGACAGGCATGTTTCTTGCTATTTGTCCCTCTTTGGTAGCTCTCTGGTTTTGATTTTATCTCTGGTGGCTTTTCCTGCTCCCCAAGCCACCTCCACCTGAGTGACTGCATATTAATGTCAAGTGCTTTGTGTGGGTGTGCACATGTGTGGGGGCACCCAAGGGAGTGGATCATACCTGCAGATCTTCCCTTCCCACCGCGAGGGGCTAGTGCCCCCTTAGTGCCCCTGTGGAGCATCTTGCCTTGACCTGCAAACGTGCATCTTGCCCAGAAGACTGGGCTGCCTTGAGCCATTCAAGCAGTTGGTAAGCACCTACTGTGTGCTGGGCTCCGCAGTGCCCCTGAGAACCCAGAGAGGAATAGAACACAAGAGATAGACCCCCAGAGGCAATCTTCAAATACAAGATGTTTGAGTTGGTCCTTAAAACATGAGGAGGATTGTGCCCAGCAGGAAAGGGAGAAGGACCCACCCAGAATAGCAGTGGAGGCCGAAATCAGGTGAGGGTGAGGGTGCTGGGGAGAGAGGCAACCCTTGTTTTACTGAGAATCTCTGCAGCAGATGTTGCTGGCACAGGGCCAAGGCGTAGCAAGTGCTGAAGAACGAGCGAGAAGAAAAAAGGGAGGGACCAAAAGGGATAAGTCAATCAATCGCACCCTATTCATATAATGAAATCTACGCAACAGGTTAAAAAGAACAAACTAGAACCAAAACACATAGAATCTCACGAATGGAATGTGGAGTGAGTAGAGCAAGTTACAGAAGAATGTGTACAGTCCCCGGGTCTGAAGTGCTCAACGTGCAAGAGTCCTACCCGGATAGACATTAGGTTAAAGGACCTCATGAAATTGCCACCTTTGGGCCATTTTTGACATGCAGAACTAGCCAATTTCATTTGGCTCAACCTGAGTCGAAATCACAAGAGATGGCCCATCCATCCACACGGTGGGACACTACTTAGCTGATGAAGAGAATAAATCATGGCCACATGGAACAGCTTGCCTGGATCTCAAGGAGATTATGCTGAGTGGACACAGCCAATCTCCCAAATTAACCTACTGTGCGACTCCCTGTATCAATGCCTCCAATGACAGAAGCAGGCTGGCGGAGTAACTCAGTGGTAGCGCACCTGCTTAGCATGCATGGGACCCCGAGTTCACTTCCTAGCACCACAATAAGGGGAGGGGATAACGAAAGAGTAGAGATAGATTATTGATTACCAGGGCTAGGGAGGATTTGACTGTGGCCACCAGGGAGTAGCATGGGGCCCCTTGGGGGGAACTGTCCTATATCTTGACACTGGTGGTAATCATGGGAATTCAGGCATGATGCCATTTTGAGGAACTAAATGCACACGTGCACACACATGTGCACACACAGTGGAAGTGAAGCTGATGAGATCTGAATAAGGCCAGTTTGATGGTGTTTGTGACACTGTACTTTGATGAAGCAAGAAGTTAACTTTGGGGGAAATTGGACAAAGGGGATATATGAGAGCTCTCTGTATTATTCATTACTGCATGTGAATCTGCAGTTATCTAAGAATAACACATACATGGCAAAAACTAAAGCCAAATTTAACATAAAGGTTTATTCTGGGTAAAGGGTGAAGTACACAGATGAGAAGAGATACACAGAGGGGATTCAACTTTTCTTTGACATGTTTTGCTTCTTTTATTTATTTTTTTTATTTATTTAATATTTATTTATTTTTTTTAGTTCTCGGCGGACACAACATCCTTGTTTGTATGTGGTGCTGAGGATCGAACCCAGGCCGCACGCATGCCAGACGAGCGCACTACCGCTTGAGCCACATCCCCAGCCCATGTTTTGCTTCTTAAGAAAGAAAATTCTGGGGCTGGGGTTGTGGCTCAGCAGTAGGGCACGCACCTAGCACGTGCGAGACCCTGGGTTCGATCCTCAGCACCACATAAAAATAAATAAATAAAATAAAGGTATTGTGTCCAACTACAACTAAAAAAATAAATATTTTAAAAAAAGAAAAGAAAGAAAATTCTGAAGCAAACATGGCATAATGTCAAGATTCTACAAAGCAGGGTGGTAGGTACTAATTGTTTCTATCATTATCTTCTTTTTTGCTTGAAATAATTCATAGTTGTTTGAAATAATTCATAATTATTAAAAGCTGTCTTGCTTCATGATTTGCATCTGGAGTCAGGACCTGGGATGCAGTGGCTTACGTCCCAGGCCAGGTGCCAAGGGTGGACCCAGGGCTCAGCCCCTTCCCCAAGAGCCATTCTGTGGCAGCCAGGGCAGGGGCTCCCTGGGGGTGGGCCCTGCCCTGTGTGAGCCGCACCTGCCTCTCTCCACAGCCCCCAGAGAAGGAGGGTGCCCTGCCTCGGCAGGTGGGCAACAAGACAGAATGCGGCCTGCTGGGCTTTGTGCTGGATCTGAAGCAGGACTATGAGCCTGTGCGCAGCCAGATGCCAGAGGAGAAGCTGTATAAGGTGTACACCTTCAATTCTGTGCGCAAGTCCATGAGCACCGTCATCAAGATGCCTGACGAGAGCTTCCGCATGTACAGCAAGGGTGCTTCTGAGATCGTGCTCAAAAAGTAAGTGGCCAACAGGGCGCCGGCTGAGGGCCGAGCTGTTGGAGGGGCCTCTGGGCCATGCAATGCCAGCACCGTCCATGCTGGACCTAGCAGCACCCCTGGTCTGGAGAGTCCATCTAGCACCAGGTCACACAGCAAGACTCATCCCCTGCCCACCGATTTTTTCACTATATCCTCTTAAAAATTTCTACAGATAAGAGTCTTCCCTGCCTTCTGAGAGACTGGATCCTCAGGACGTTCTGCCCGCAGTCACACTCAATTTTGCTTCCCTTCTCATAGGGCTGGTTGGTGGTAGTTATTTGGTTTTCATCAGGCAAGTTCCTCTGACTCAGTGTGTGCCAGAAATAAGCCTGGGGAACTAAGCAGGTCACTGCCCTCTGTGGCCCTCAGTTTCCTGGCTCGTGCGTTGAAGGGATTGATCTTGCCCGATGGTTCTCAGCGCCAGCAGCGCCATGCAAATCACCCCAGGGAGATTTTTTTAAAATCCATTGGTCATTGGACTTACCCCAGATAACTTGAATTGGAGACCCGAGGGCAGGGTGCACACGTGGGTATTTATTAAATGCTCCCCCAGTTGATCCTAGTATATAAGTGGGGCCAAAAACTACTAGCCGAGGTTTGATGGCCTTTGGAAACCATTTTTTTAATTTTTCAAATGAAACCTTGGGGATAACACATGTAGATGACCAAAGCAGGATTGCTCTTGCTGAATGGCCTTGGGCACATATTTTAAGGTCACCTGATTTTACCCTACCTCAGACCTGGGCGCTTGTGGGTGCACTTAGTCCTGAGGCATTATGGGAGATGGACCGGGTGGGCCTGGCCTGAACTCTGTGGCCAATTGGACATCCCCAGTGGGCAGGGGAACACCCCTTAGGCCCTTGGCTAGGCCTTATTCACCTGCCTTTCACCCTCCCCCAGGTGCTGCAAAATCCTCAGTGGGGCAGGTGAGTCCCGGGTCTTCCGGCCCCGAGACAGGGACGAGATGGTGAAGAAGGTGATCGAGCCCATGGCCTGCGACGGGCTCCGCACCATCTGTGTGGCCTACCGTGACTTCCCCAGCAGCCCCGAGCCCGACTGGGACAACGAGAATGACATCCTCAATGACCTCACCTGCATCTGTGTGGTGGGCATCGAGGACCCCGTTCGGCCTGAGGTAATGCCCTGGTGCTCTGCTGCGGGGCCTGTCCTCCCCGCCGCCAGGTGCTCTTCCCTCTGCCCCCCTCCCCAGGGACAGGTGTGGGGAGTTCCCTGCCTTAGAAGCTTTTACCTCACAGGAACCAGGAGCTCTGGTAACAAGCCCCTCGGCCCAGGTTCCAGGCCTGGGCAAAGGACACACCCAATGACAAGGGTCATTGCTCTCAGGAGAACACCAAGTGCGGTGTCCCCATCAGTACTTACACTTCTCTCTGTCCAGGTGCAGTTTAGCAATCACCATCCCCTGGCCAGCTCGCCTGGTAACACCTCTGACATTCAGAGGAACAGAGCTCGCACAAGTTATGGTGTCATGTAACTCGTGGGACCTCCAGGAGCCGAATCCGATGCAATCACACAAGAGTCTTTATTGCAAGCTCGAGCCTGGACTCACAGCGGTCCCAGGGAGTGAGCCCCGGTCCTTTGTTCAGTGAGATTTTATAGGTTTTGGGGGATACTCTACGTGTCACAACATCACACAGCAAATCATTCTACACCACGGGAAAGTCAAACAACAATTCTTAACATTGATTAGCACATTCACTGGCGGGAACAAGTTGGGTAGGGGTGATTGGTTATTACAAGAGGGGGATTCGTTTGAACTGATTGGTTTAAGCCACGAGGGGTGTACGTGCTGAACTACATGGTTTCCCAACATGTTATCAACCACCATAAACCACTGGGAGGGTCATCTGGCATCCCAAGTATTTTCCCTGTCTCAGGATGATTGGTGGTTGCTAGGGGGTTGCTATGGATCCCCACCTAGCCTGACTGAGTCAGGGACACCTGGCGCCGCAGATCTCTCCTGTTATTTGCAGACAAACAACTCAGCAGGGTGGGTATGTGCCTAGGAGTGCTCCGTGGGTTTTTCCAAGGACAAGGGCCACACCCCCTTCCCTGGACAGGCTTTGCTCTGAGGTCGAGGCTGGTTTCTCAAAAATTGAGTCACATCAGTTTCTCAATGTCAGGTCACACTCTCCAGCAGGTGGGCGGGGGCGACAGCACCTTCCTCACATGGATGGAGGAGGTGATTGTGGGAGAGCCCCTAACAGGTACTCAGCACACAGTAGGTCTTCAGTCTCCTTGAGCTGAATCTGCATCCTGCAGGGAGAAGGACAAGAATCCTGAGCTAGAGTGTGGTGGGAGGAAGGGAGGAGGATGGACTGCCCAGTGTGGAGTGTGCCAGCAGGGACAGCCTCAGTGTCCCCTCCTGCCCTGACACCATGTTCTGGCCAGTCCCTGTTCTATCAGAGCCTCAGTTTCCCCTCTTTAAAGGGAAACAGGGTAGAATTTTTTTCCTCCAAGTTCTTGGGCCTGATGCCGTAAGATTCTACATTCCACTCAGGCATCAGGGAGAGGAATCAAAGAGTGAATGAACTCTGGCATGGGACGGACCAGGATCCTGAGTGCCAGAATTGCTGGCTGTGAGGCATTGGGCCAGTCACATAAGCTCTCTGATTCTTAATCTGTAGACTTCGGATAATAATATCCTCCCCCATGTGTACACACACACACATACACACACACACACACACACACACACCCTGGGATATTGTGAAGGGTCTGATCGTACCATTTTGAATGAACAAAAGCAGAGTGTCTGGCATGAGGTAGATGGCCCCAAAATGAAGGTCCCCTTTCTTCCCGCCTTCCCCATAGATTCATTACTCTGGATCCAATGACACATTGTGTCCCCTAACACACAGCTGAGCCTTTAGGAGGTGCTCGATAAAGATTTGTAGAATGAATGAGAATGAATGGACTTGAACCCCAGTCTTCCAACACCGTGTCTGGTGCTCAAGTCTCTCTCTCTCTCTCTCTCTCTCTCTCTCTCACACTGTGGCCCCCTCATCCTACCCCGATCCTAAAACAGCAAAGACAGTCAGCACCCTGGAGCTTGGCGCTTGGCCCCAGAGCCCGCGTGTGTTTTTCTGTAGACCGCGGCCCTCCCTGGGCACACAGGCCATTTATCAGCTCCCCCAGGGGACGCCTGCTCATCACCAACCGCTAATGGGCTCAGGCCTCACGGCGATGCGTTACCTCCTTACTGGAAATTTCTCAGAACCAGCAGCAGTGGCTCGTCCCCTGCGGTAGGAGGCTGGCCTAACCACGCCCTGGGGACTCCCTTGTCCTTGCTTTCTAGAGCCTCCTCCACCCCTCCGTGAGCTCCCGGCTCATCACCACGCCTCGGAAACACCTCTGAGGTGGGCTGGGAAAGAGAATCCGGTGCAAACATTTTTTTGGCCCTGACCCACAATAAGAAGAAATGTATTTTATGTCATGACTCAAGTCAGCACACACGCTTAACCAACCCAAGAATTTCACAAAGTAATGCCATGTAGTGCAGAATTTTCTGTCCTTCCTTCTTTTTGTTAAAGCTGATCAACATCCACTGTCTCAAGAGGCGTGGCTAGAGGTCTGATCCCTCATCTCACCCAGACAGCTTCCTACACATCCCAGTTTGCATATGGAAACACTGAGGCCCACAGAGGGACGGGGATGTCCCCAAAGACTCCCTGTAAGAGGCTGAGCAAGTCCAGATTAGGCCAGGTTTCTGCCTTTCTGCCCCAGGGCCTTTGCCTAGATGCCACAAAACAGAAGGGGAAAGTCATTCTGTGTCAGGAGGTTGAGGAAAGACTCCCCACACCCAGGACCTGAGAGGAGCAAAGCTGGGTCCCTGGCATTTGCTGTTGACGGCAGGGTCATCCAGAGTAAGTGGCTTCAGACGCAGACTCGGAAAGGACCTGGATGCCAGCCCCAACTTTGCCACCAACAAGCCACTGGGGCCCTCTCTGTGCCTCTGTCTTCTCATCTGCTCATCCTTCCTTCCATCAGGGAATCCATCTTGGCCCTCTCCCGCCCCCCAGGCTTGCCCTCAAGACGTAAGCTGAATTTAACAGCAGTGGCCTGGCAGAGTCAGAGGATGTGGGCTCTGATTCTGCCCCTGCCACTCCTTCTAGGTGGCCTCAGGTGCATCCCCTTTTAGCCTCGGTTTCCCCATCTGAAAAACAAGACACTTGGACGGTCTGATGTTCGCGACTCAGGGACACGGCAGGGCTGCTGGGGACGCTACTGGAAAGCATAAAAGCTCAGACCTGTTGATTTGCGTCTCCCCCTGGGGGGGGCGTGGGATGGGTGCACGCCCCCGAGGAGCCCAGTGGATACAGTTGTCTTACTGATTTGCTTTTTAAGATAGGTGATTTGTGTGCATGGAACCAAATTCAAAAAGTACAGAAGTGTGAAATAACCCTACCACCATTCTAGTCCCCAGTTCCCACCTCCACAGCAGCACTGTCACCAGTTTTGTGAGTGACCCTCTGGGAGTATCCATGCCTATGGTGGGTGCATTTCTGCAAACTCTGCTGGGCTCTGTTCTCCTACAGCCTTCCTGGTCACCCTGCCTTGAGTCTCCTGGGCAAATACCCTGCATAGTGCCTCCAGCCTGCCGAGGCCCAGAAAGGAGGATGGCCTCTACCTGGGCCACCTCTAGGGTCCTTAGACATGCTAGGATTCATTTTGCAATAGCAGGAAGATAATTTATGCCCCCCTTGGTTTCCCCAGCTGTCAGTGGGGTGAATCTCCACATTGCCTTCCTCCCTGGAGACCACCAAAGGCAAGAATCAGTTAAAAATATATTTGCCAAAACTCCCTCCCTGAGACGTTGCTGAGGCTGATGGAAGCCAACATCAATGAAGCCATCAGGAGATTGGCGGTCTGGGACTTGCCGGGTTATCCGGGGGTGTTTGGAGCCCTTAGAGTCACAGACAACGGCTGTCACCAGAAACAACAGATGTTTAAAAGCCTTTATTTAATGAAAACAGGAAGCGCCCATTTCCTGGCTGTTTTTCCTCAGTGAGAAATATCTAGGATAATTTTAGCAAAAGAAGCCTTTTTTTAAAAAAAAAAATTAACAGCAATTTTATTTATGTGGAAAGCATATTTCAACCAGATCAATGCCTCTGGGGTTTCAGTCTTAATCATCTCTGCATCTTTAGTGCCTTGAACAGGATGTTCAATAACAGTTCATTGAATGAACAAATGTCTGAGTGATAGAAGAAACTACTGAGAATAGTTTAAGGAAATATCCCACTGGATTGGAAGAATTCAGAATGGCTTCATGAGCTGAAAGCATTTTACATGTAAGATGGGTAAGATACGACACACAGAGGTTGAGGGAGGGCAGAAGGAACAGAATGGGCAGAGTCAGGGAGATGGGAAAGGATTCTGTATTAGTCAGATTTCTGTTACTATGACAAAATGCTTGAGATGAATCAACTTGTAAAGAAGAAAGGTTTGTTTTGAGTTCACAGTTTTGGAGGTTTCAGCCCATGGTTGTTTGGGCCCCATTATTTTTTGGCCCATGTCGAGGCAACACATTATGGTGGGAATACATGGCAGAGCAAAGCAGTTCACATCACAGCTTGGAAGCAAAAGAGAAAGAAGAAGAAGAGACCTAGATTCCATTGTCCCCTTCCAGGGCACACCGCTAGTGACCTAAGACCTCCCACCCCTTAGAGGTTCCACCACCTCCCGATAGCACCATAGTCTAGGGACCAAGCCTTGAACACACAGGCCTTTGACATTCAAGATTTGAACTATAGTAGATGCTAAGTGTTTTATTCATCAGTTTTCCAGGGCTGCCATGGCAAAGTACAGATAGCCCCCAACCTGACGATAATTAGATTTTGAATTTTTTTGACTTCACAAAGGTGTGGAAGCAATACGCATTCCATGGGAACTGTACTTGGAATTTCAAATCTGGATCTTTTTCCAGACTAGCAAAATGGGGCAGAAAATCCTCTTGATGCTGGGCAGGGCAGTGAGCCGCGGCTGCCTGTCAGCCCACGATCACGAGGGGGAGCAACCCCTGGGTAATTGATGTTCATCTTGGCTGTTCGGTAGGTTAGGTCTATTTGGTGCATATTTGACTTTTGGTATTTTCATCTTAACGGTGGGTTTATCAGGGCTGAACTCTGTTGAGCAGCAGGTAAACCACAAACTGAGCAGCTCAAACAGTGGAAATTTGTCTCACAGTTGTGGAAGCTGAAGTCCAAGATCCAGGAGTGGGCAGGGCCTGCTCTAGACCACTCTCCTAGTTTCTAGAGGTTTGCTGACCCTCTCTGTTGTTCTTTGACATGCCTTATCCCTCCCCTGACATCATCTCCTTTTGTGCATGTTTTTGCATCCAAATTTCCTCTCTGCCTAAGGACCCGGTTATACTGGATGAGGACTTTTCCTGAGAACCTCATCTTAGTGTAATTACCTTCATAAAGACCCTTTCTTCAAGTAAGGCCATTTTCACAGCTATGGGGGGCTTAGGACTTTGGTGTCTCTTTTGGTAAAAATGCATTTCCAAGCTCAGCAGTGGCTTGGCAGAGGATGCATGGGAGTGAGGCCTCAGTCACTAGGGTGTGCACGACTCCGCTCTTGGGTCCAGAATTCCAATGTGCTTTAGTGCTTTAGTATTTCTGGACAACTGGATTTTCTGCCCTTGATGTGTTCTCTTCCCCTCAAAGACATTCTGCAGCAAATATAGTCTTATTATTTTATTATTTGTTATTGCCTATGGGTAAGAATCACTCATTCAGTTGATCTGTGTTCTGTATAAAGGGCTGCCACAGCTCCAGGCTAATTTCCACATCCTGGTTGCTGGGTAAATCCAGAGCTCTGCTTGGGGAAGCTACTGGGGCCTAGCGGGTGACGGGCCTTGCCGCCTTCTGATTGGCTGGGCTGGGTCTGATCTGACCCAATCGGCCCAGACATCAGTCTGTCATTATAGTCAGAGAAGGCAGGATGCAATCCTTACTCTCAGCAAAATGTCCTATTTTAAGTGACAGCATAGTCATTCGGATTTATTCTAATCCAATGTCACATTCTGTAAATAAAATGCCTCCAAATGCAAACCTCTCCCCCTCAAAAAAAAAAAAAACTGAAAATACACAAACAGACTTATCATGGAGCTTGTAGATGAAGCTGGGCAAGTTCAAGTGTAACTAGGTGCTCTGTACTCTGGCCTGGGCCTGATCTGAGAAGGTGTTCATTAGGGTCTTTCCAAAGCATTTGTGCAGTTCGGGGGATCCAGTGGTTTGGTCTCAGGACAAACTATCATGGTCACTAGGTGCTGGCTGCCTGGGATTCTGGCTGAGAAGAATTCTGAACCCACATCAGGTTCAATCCAGGATACTGTGATTGATTAACAATGTCTGCCATGGGCACAGGAAGAGAAGCCATGGACTGTATTCTATCTGTGCCATCAGTATCTCATGGAGTTTTTACTCCCCTTTAAGTGGAGCTGCTTATGAGAAGGGCTCACTCTGGGACCCATGAAGGCAGCGAGGGCCTGCCAGGGGTGATGCCCTCCCCCATGGATCCTACCCTCCTGTCTAGGTCCCAGAAGCCATCCGCAAGTGCCAGCGAGCAGGTATCACTGTCCGGATGGTCACTGGTGACAATATCAATACGGCCCGGGCCATCGCCATCAAGTGTGGTATCATCCATCCTGGGGAAGACTTCCTGTGTCTGGAGGGCAAAGAGTTCAACCGGAGGATCCGCAATGAGAAGGGAGAGGTACGTGTCCCAGGGTAAATGTCCTCAGAGGGACTAGATTTGACGGGGCAGGGAGCTGGGAGGCACTGGCGCTGTGATGCATGATTGTGCAGAGACCAGCCAGTGTACCCTGGGCTCTTCCTCGATCCTCAGTTTCTCTCCCTGATCCTGCTGACCCTCTCCCTCATCCCTCTGCAGATTGAGCAGGAGCGAATTGACAAGATCTGGCCAAAACTGCGGGTGCTGGCTCGCTCCTCCCCGACAGACAAGCACACCCTAGTCAAAGGTGAGACGTGGGAGGTCTTGGGAAATTCTGAGGCCAGAGACCAATGCTCCTTTCCTGGCACGTGGTGTTTCCATACAACTGGACGCGGGGAAGGGACCCTCTCTGGGCATCTACACACCTGGTGATGTCCTTATGAAAAGGATGCTTTTCAGCCCCGGGATGCCTGCTGAGGGCCCAAAGGAGGTTGTGAGCCTTCTTTTCTGGGCCTCCAATTCCTCCAAGAAGCGTTAGGATCGGGCCCATCTAGGGTCTCAAACTCATGGCTCAGTTACCATATGGGGACCACAGATATGTTTTATTTGGCCAGTGGGGCATTTTAAATGTCGAGTTTGAGTGACTTTATACAGATCTTGCTCTTTGTGGCTGACAGACTACTACTGCTCGTTATCTGAAAGTCAACCCTCTTCACTTGCTCTCAGTCTGGCCCCAGAGCTCAGGAGTTCGAGAGCCTTGGTGTGCTTGGCATCTTGAGACTCAGGCATGGGCTGTCCTGGGCACAGCGATTTGAGCAGTGAGGCCCAATGCCACAGTCCTTCTCTCTCCCCATTTCCCCCCAGAGAGAGCACAACACGTGCTAAGCTCTGGGGGCCAGGTTCTAGGTGTTTCTGGTTCATGTCCCGGGTCTGCTGCTGACCTGCTCTGTGGCCGTGGACAAGACTCTCCACTCTGGGACTCAATTTACCCATCTGTAAATTGGCTGTGGGATCCAGGCTTCTGCCTGAGATCATCCGTAGGTGTCTAGGATTCTTGTCTCAAACATGTCACCCAGGGACATTAATGGAGGCGGATCTAGCCTGGGGACAGAAACGGAACCCCTGAAGCACAGATACTTGAAGCAAAAGTTCTCCAACCCATGCTCATTTCTTATTAATTCACTCATTTGCTCATCAATTCATTTATCCGTTCTTTCAATGACCATTTATTGAGGACCTATTATATCCAGGCCCCGATCTAGGTGGATGTGGTCCTTCCCTCTGGAATTCGTGGTGCAGGTCCCAGGCAGTGGACACTAAATAGGCATTGTCCCTGCAGAGGGTGAAAGGCTGCATGGGTGGCAGAGAAGGCTGTTCTGGGGCCCGCTGCTGCCCTCTGACTCTGGCTGGGTAAGGTATTAGGTCACAGGCCATGGTAGGCAAGGGGTGGGGGGGGGGGGGGTGTTTCCAGGAGGAAGGGTCTGGTTTTCAGACAGGGCAGAGAACCGCACTGGAACTGTCCAGAGAAAAAAGTTTTCCCCAGCACATCAAGGAATGAACGTAAATTCAGTTGCCTGGATGGGAGTCCTGAAAGAGGGAAAGCTGAGGAGGAGACTGGAGGAGGCTTGTGGCATCGCGTCCTGTAGACCACAGCATTCGCCACGTAGGTGGCTGTGACCTGCACTGTTACCCCAAGTTCAGGAAGTGGGAGGGCCAGGTGGAAAAGACCACCGTTTCATAAAGCCCAGCCTGCTTTGGGAGAGTGACCCGCAGGCAAGAGGGACCACCAGGATTGCCTAACGCGCCACAAGGACCAGATGGTGGCAGGCAGGGCGGCCAGCCATCAGCAGGTCTGAGAAACACTTCCAGGTGGAAGTCTGAGCAGGGTGTTTGGACATGGTAAGGGGGTTAAGGGGCAGGGGCCCAGGACCTCTGCTGTCTGCCTGTTTGAGGGCCCACTGCAGGCCCAGTGCCTTTCAAGTGGGCAGCTGGGCACCAGGAGTCACAGGAGACAAGACAGATCTGAGGAAAACTGATGCTTTCAGTGTAGGACTGGCCACGCTGCGGCCTCTGACTGTCGAGCGGAGCTGTCCAGAGGTGGCTGGCCCTCGGGGCAGGAGAGTGCGGGGCCTGGGACACAGGCCTGGCTGGGGGTACGAGAGGGAAGAGCTGGGGAGCTGCTGAACCCAGGAATGCCCACCTGAGTGGTGGCAGTGGCCAAGAATGCCAGCAGAACCAAGGACAGGTGACCAGAGGAGCAGGAGTGATGTGGGTGACAGGAAAGCCAGGACGGAAGCTTATGGGAAAGGAGGACCGATGTAGTTTGAGGGTCAGGACACAGATGTGGCCACAGGGAAGCCCCTGAAGGCCACGCAGGGCAGGGCCACACTGGGCCTAGAGTGAGAAGAGACAGCCCCAGGAGGGTTTTGTCCCAGATCTCTGCTCTGTTGGGAACAGGAAAAGCCCGTTACCAGCCCAGGGAGCCACAGAGAAAAGAATCCCCCCTTGTCTAGCCACAGAGGAGCCCCCTTAAGGCTGAGGGAACCAGGGAGAACAGAGGCCTCGTGTGTGCATGCTAGTGGACCAGCCTAGAGAGACCGGGTTCAGGGCAGAGGGCCTCGGGGCTGGCTGCTGTGTGGCGGCAACTCAGGATGATTCCTAGGGCACCCGGCATGGGAACTAGGTCTTGAGGGGAGCAGTTTAGAGGGGCAGTACCCCAAGTTAGGGGTAGGGGAGGCAGCAGCTACGGGGATGCTTTGGGGTGACAGGGGTCCTCAGGGCACTACAAAGACTTCCTGTGGATGGTGGCATCCAAGCTGAAGCTATAGGTGGGTGACAGGAGTATATCCAACCCAGGGAACAACCTATATAGGAACAGAGGCCAGTGGGAGCCAGGCATGTGGCAAAGAGGTGGACATGGCCAGGGGCAAGAGAAGAGATCGGAGTGGAGAGGCCTGGTCATGGGGTTCAGAGGTTCCTGCATGTTATCATGGGGCCCAGGGAAGAAGTGAACGGCTTTTCCGAGGGGCAAGGGACAGGTTCAAACAAGGTCTTGCAGCAAGTTCCAGGGTGCCCCAAGTCAGTGAGGGGGCAGTGGAAATGCCAGTTGCAGAGATCAGGACAGAATGCAAAGGACTTCAGTGAAATTTTGGAGCCAGAAATCTAAGGCCTTGGTGATGCGTCTCTTGTGTGGAATAAGAGTCAAGGCCAACACCCAAATATCTGTCCTGCCCATGGCCATCTCTGCCTGGTAGCTTCATGAGTAACAAGTCCCATACACTCCAAAGGTCCCTGATGATGACACCTTTCACCTACCCTCTTCCACTGACCCAGCTGGTGACTGGGGCCACGTGTCTTCTGTTCATTCTCATTTTTGTTGAATTTTTTATTGAGGATGAGTGTCTGGAGAGAGGCCAAGGTCAGAGTAGTAAGGGGAAGATGCTGGTAGGGCAGATGGCGGGACCCCAGAGAAACCTTGAATATCCCTGGAGCAGCGGAGGGGCCCCTGAATATAAGCAGAGGGGCCAAGGGGACAGTTTTTCTGGTTAAGGTGGCTGCCAGTGTGGCCAAGTTCTGTAAGAAACAAAGACAGTGCTGGAAAGTGGGCAGGACCCAGGCCACACAGGACCTCCAGCCAGCCCTGGGCTAACCAAGTGCCCAGAATGCCCTGCAGGTGCTGGGAAGAGCCACGCCAGAAGGGGCTAGCTAAGCAGGGGCCAGAGAGGGGGCCATGGCCATGGCCAAGGCTCAGGGCTGGCCCAGGCCCTGAGCATACTCCTGCCCCCAACAGGCATCATCGACAGCACACACACTGAGCAGCGGCAGGTGGTGGCCGTGACCGGGGATGGGACCAACGATGGGCCTGCACTCAAGAAGGCTGACGTGGGCTTCGCCATGGTAGGAGCGGCTCTCAGGGGTCTGGGGTGGAATCTGGCAGGAGCATAGCCTTGAAGTGGCTTGTGGGACCCCCAGTTGACACTCAGCTGACCCTTTGGCCCTGTGTGCATTCAATGCTCTCCAGCCTCCACATGGCCCCAGAGGTCTTCCTGGAAGGGAGGAGTCCTTCTGCTCAGGGAGAGCTTGGCAAGGAGGGGCACTTGCAGGTTGGGGAGCAGGAGGGTGAGGGAGGAGAGGGCCCAGGGCAAGGCCTCCTCCAGGGGTGGGGGGGTCTGTGTGTGTCCCTGTGTGTGGTCTGGCTGTGCTGGGCCCATTGGAATGGAACAGGAGTGGGCTGTGGTGGGCTGAGGATGTGCCAGGGATGGGGACAGCAGTATAGAGCCACTCACCTCCCCCGGCCACCCCTCCAGGCTCCTGTCCCTGTCCCCACAGGGCATCGCAGGCACGGATGTAGCCAAGGAGGCCTCAGACATCATCCTGACCGATGACAACTTCAGCAGCATCGTCAAGGCGGTGATGTGGGGTCGCAACGTCTATGACAGCATCTCCAAGTTCTTGCAGTTCCAGCTGACTGTCAACGTGGTGGCTGTAATCGTGGCCTTCACAGGCGCATGCATCACGCAGGTGGGTCCTCGGGGTGCGGGCAGAGACCCCCAGCTGAGAGCTTCCTGAGCTGTGTCAGAATGCCTGGATTGGGGCACCCGTGATTGGAGCACCTGCCAGGAACCGCATCACAGTTCCCGGTGCAGGTGCCAGCCCCAGTGCAGTGGAGGAAATGAGGCCCCGAGAGGTGGCATGGCTCAGGTGGCCCAGTAAGTGGAAGACGTCAGCCTTATACCCCCATGGTCCTGGGCCAGGCACTGGCCAGACTCTTGGTCCAGGGCTAGGGGGAGACAGGGCCAGTGCAGGCCCAATGTAGATCACGGGACCGGCTGAGGGTCAGCGGGGCCCCTGGGGGCCTTGGTTCTGCAGTGATGGGGACAGTACAGGCAGCGGGAATGTGTTTATCCAGATCACTTCTTCTGGGTCTCATGCAGCCCTGTCCTCTGGACTAGGTGGGGCCTGCAGAAAACAAGACCTGGAGGTCTTCAGCCTCACTGAGTCCTCACTTTGAGACAGGAATTGGGATGATTCCCATTTGACAGAGGCAGAAACTGAGGCTCAGAGTAGGAGAGGCACCTACCACTGCTCCTGAAGCCTCCTGGTACTGCGACCAGCCCGCCTCCTCCAGGAGCTGACCAGCCTGGCCTGGGCAAGAGGGTAGGCTGCCTCAGCCCTGGGAGGTCCCTGAGGCCTGACCCCTTCCAGCAGCCACCTCAGTATTCAAGCCCCTGTACTCAGGAGCCCCAGAATCACAGAGTGCTGCACTGCTACCGAGCTGGGTGGCCCTGGGAACCCTGCTCCCCTCTGTTGCATCCTGAGTCATGGGGACACTCCTGGTGGCCACTGCTTGCCCCAGTCTGAGAGTCAGAGCCCTGTGGGGTGAAGGGCAGAGATAGGGAGGGTTGGGTTCCCTTCTGATGGGAAGAGTCCTCTCTCTTCTCCTGTGGATGAGAAGCTCCCTCTAGTGGCAGCTTGGGGACACTGCCATGGCAACAGAAACTCGGGCTTCTTGGATCCAACTGGTACCAGGTGGGGAAACTGAGGTTCAAAGAAAACTGGTAGTTGAACCAGGTAGGGGACCAGGGGGAATAGGTGGACCAGTCCCTGAGGTGCACTCAACCAGAGAAAGCTGAGGGGCAGGAGGAAGCCTAAGAGGGACGGCTGAGCCAGGGCAGAGGCCGGGGAGCTGGCCAGGAGGGGCTGTGACAATTGCCTAGGAGGTGAGCGAGCGCACGGGTGCAGGCAGAGGGGTCAGGGTGGGTGGGCTTCCTGAAGGCTGTGTTCCATGGCCCCCAGATGGGCAAGGCTAAAGCCACAGGGAGTCTGGGATGGAGAGAGGCCAGGTGGGAGGAGGTGGGTCCCTTAAAGCTAGGGAGACAGGTATACAGAGGAGAGCAGGGCCCAGGAAGGGGCCACAGGAGCCCAGTTTTTTTAATATATTTTGTTGTTGTTGTTGTAGTTGGACACAATACCTTTATTTTATTTATTTATTCTTATGTGGCGCTGAGGATCGAACCCAGGGCCTCACACATGCCAGGCGAGCGCTCTACCGCTGAGCCACAACCCCAGCCCAGGAACCCAGTTTTAAAAGGAGGGAGGAGGAGCCCTCTGAAAGGGAGGACCAGGAGAGTGGGGTCCGGAGTGGCCTGGCACTGCGGTGAGGCTGGAGGAGGGATCCCTCAATCTGATACAGAAGTGGCTGGTGACAGAGAAAGGCATTTGGGGGTACAGAGGGGCCAAGCCTACAGCTGTGGTCAAGGCCTATGGGGCAGGAGGAGGGAGGGCGACCAGCAGCTTGTTCCTTCAGGCAGTGGAGACCCTGCGCTGTGATTGTGCCCGACACCTGGTGCCCTTCCGTCTCAGTCAGCGAGAGGTCTGGAAGGGCACACACCAGAATAGGGGCAGTGGTAACCTCTGTGAGATCCCCAGAGACTTTTAGCCTCCTCTGCTATTCCTTATGTGCCAAAATTTCCCAGCATGAAAATGTATTATTTTTAAAGTCATAGAAACACAAAGAGAGGTTTTTTAGAATAACGTAGGATAATAAAAGTCATGGAGAAATTGGGGACAAGGGTCACGGAAAGGAGAGACTTGAGCCACAGACAGTTGAGGGGAAAGAGGCAGCAGGAGGTGCAGAGGAAGGGGGAGTGGCAGGGGCTGTGCTGTGACATGGCCAAGAGCAGGGGGGAGGGAGGTGGCGGGGATGCAGCTAAGATTACCAGAAGCTGGTGGCTGTTGGGCCTGGGGGACTCTGCCTTCTCCTGGGGCAGCGGGGTACAGGGCTGAGGTGGGCAGCTCTGCATAGTCCTCCAGAGGAGGCTTCTAGAACCTGCTGTGCACCTGCTCAGGAACCCACGGGGCAGGCCAGCCTCATGTGACCTCCGTCACATCCTACCAGCACTCTATGGCAGAGGAGGGGCTGGCTCCTGAGACAGAGCTCTCCTTGGGCCACTTCCCCAGGACTCCCCTCTGAAGGCTGTGCAGATGCTCTGGGTGAACCTCATCATGGACACGTTCGCCTCCCTGGCTCTGGCCACAGAGCCGCCCACTGAGACTCTGCTTTTGAGGAAGCCATACGGACGCAACAAGCCCCTCATCTCCCGGACCATGATGAAGAACATCCTGGGCCACGCAGTCTACCAGCTCACCCTCATCTTCACCCTGCTCTTCGTTGGTGAGCCCCCTGCCCACATCCTCAGTGGCCCTGTCACCACCTTCCAGGGACACTTTGGCCCAGACCTGGCATCTGGATTCACAGCCACCTTCCTATTTTGCTCAAGCTTAGGGAGGTAAAGTAAGTTGCTCGAGGTCACAGAGGGAACTTTGAGCAGAGTCTGTCCCTGTCACAGGCCTAGCTGACCCCAAATCTAGGGTTTTTTCCATGGATCGCAGCTCCCAGGTCTGAGTGCACATCACACAAGGTGGGTGCAGGGCTGACACTTCATGTCAGCTCATCAGAGCTGGGACCCCTTCCCTGACCTCTTCCAGAACCTTCTCTTGAACCAGGGAAGGCGTCCTCATGGAGACGTCTGTGTAATTGCCAGCTGCCTGCACAACACTTCCACCAAAGTTGCCTCATTTAGGCCTCCAGCCAGCCATGAGGCAGGTGCCCTTGCTCCTGTGTTAGGAAGCTGGCTGTCACTATAATAAACTACCCAAGAAAACTTAGAAAAGTTTATTTTGGTTCACAGTTTTGAAGGTTTCTGTCCACGGTCAGGTGTTTGGGCTAATGGCAAGGCAGCACTTCACGGCAGGAGCATGGGGTAGAGCAAAACTGATCACCTTGGGAGCCAGGGGGCAGAGAGAGCAGAAGAGACCAGGGCCCATGTCCCCCTTCGAAGACATGCCTGTCCCTGTCACAGGCATGGCTTCCCACAAGGCTCCATCTCTCAAAGATTCCATCACCTCCCTGTAGCACCACCCTGGGGACCAAGTCTTAACACATGGGCCTCTGGTGGACACTCCAGATCCAAATTATAGTACCTTGACCCCCCATTACTCCAAGGCACCAAGGCTCACAGAGGTGAGGTGCTTACCTAAGGGCACACAGCTGGTCTGAGGAGGAACTAGAAAGAGAATCAGGTTTGGCTGGGATTAAGAATGGCCTGGTTTCTGTGGAGCCTCTGAGATGATCATGGTCCCCAACTCAGGAAGAGGAAGGGGCTGGCAACACAGAGACAGGCCAGTGCAGCGTCCCCAGCCTGGAGCTGGGTTTTCAATGCTAACGAGCATGTGCCCTCAACGCCCAGAGTATGCATGGTGGCGCAGCAAGGGTCTCAGTCCAGAAAGGGCAGTCACCTTCTGTAAATATGGAAAGTGATGTGTTGTCGGGACATAGTTTACTGTTGTAAAAATTATCCTGAAAAGCTGTAGAGGAAGCCTCATGAAAGAAAACCTTGAGACACTAGGAGAAAGTGGTGGGAGAAAGGGAGGAGAACTGGGGCTCCTACTGCCTGCTGCCCGCACCACCACCCAAACCCGACTTCATCACCTGCCGTTCTTGGGTTTGGCTGGACACCTTCTACCCAGAAAATTCCGTGACCTTCCTGGCACCAGTTCATGAGGTTTTACAAAAGGATACAGGATGCATCAGACATGCCACCAACAGGCATCCACGCAGCAATCTGGGGACCACCCCAAGCAACAGCTCAGGTGTGAAAGGATGAAGCCCAAAAGGGTGGTTCCAAGGCCATCCCAGCCTAGAAGCCCCACACTCACATAGGAATGGGGATCTCTTATAAACAGCCCCATGAGCTTCCAGAGGTCTCAGCAAGGGCATGCTCAGTGCCAAGCAGCAGAACTGTCAGGGAAGCTCAAATCCATGGCCTCCGTGTGATCAGCTTTCTGTTGCTGTAACAAAACACCTGAGATAATCAACTTAAAAAGAGGAAATGTTTATTTTGGCTTACAGTTTTGGAGGTTTCAGTCTATGGTCAGTCTGTTGCTTTTAGGCCTGTGGTGAGGAGGTACAGGCTGGAGGAAACTGCCCAACACGGAGGGGAAGTTAAGAGAGGAAGAGGCTGGGGCCTCAGAATCCCCTTTGATAGCACATCCCAGGGACCATAAGACCCCCCATTAGGCTCCACCTCTTAAAGGTTCCCCAATAGCACTGTGGGCTGGGGACCAAGCCTTTATCACTTGAGCCTTGGGGGACACTGGCAAACCATAGCACCTTCCCACAGGTTTTCTTGTCCTCCCAGTCCAGATGCACTTGCCAATCTAGGGTCACTTCTTATAAGCAATGTCACCCAGTATGCAACTGGCATTCTACCTTTCTCAGATTTCCACAGGAAAGGCGGAAGACAGCTCCCCAAGGTCTTTGCCCCCTGCCCCTTAGAGCAGGGCTTTGCTGACCCTTCCCTCACTGACCAGGCAGCAGTGCGGGCTGTACCCTGCCCCTTGCTTCCAGCAGTGCCTCCCTCCTCTGCTGCTCCCAGCCCAGCCCCTGCCCTCTCGGCTTGGCAGGCGAGAAGATGTTCCAGATCGACAGTGGGAGGAACGCCCCTCTGCACTCACCACCCTCAGAGCACTACACCATCATCTTCAACACCTTCGTCATGATGCAGCTCTTCAATGAGATCAACGCCCGTAAGATCCATGGCGAGCGCAACGTCTTCGATGGCATCTTCCGGAACCCCATCTTCTGCACCATCGTGCTGGGCACCTTCGCCATCCAGGTAGCCAGGCCCCTGCCCTCACCTGGGCTGGGCTGGGCAGTGAGCACCCCAGCCCTCTGTGCCGGCCGCTGAGGGCCTGTCCCCCTGTGTCTCTGCTCCCTTTGACCTCCAGATAGTGATCGTGCAGTTTGGAGGGAAGCCCTTCAGCTGCTCGCCGCTGCAGCTGGACCAGTGGATGTGGTGCATATTCATCGGGTTGGGAGAGCTCGTCTGGGGCCAGGTGGGTTCCTGGGGGTTGCAGGTGCCTCTCTGCAGGGGAAGGGGAAGAGCACTGGACAGGGAATCCAGGAATGGGTCCTGGCTCTGCCATAGACTCACTGCCACCCCAGGCAAGGCCCTCACCATCTCTAGGCATCTGAGCAGAGAGGACCTATCCAGGTCCCAAATGCTAGACATCTATATGCCACCACTCTGAATTTTGCCTTTTATCTATTTACCATTGCTCCTGTTATTAATATTTTTAATCAATTTGGGATTTTTTTTAACAAATTTACTTCAAAAGGCAATATTATATTACTAACATAACTAGAAAATCAGTCACTTGCCATAAATAGAAGCTAACAAAAAATTTAATGTCATGAGCACACAATGTTATTAAGTGCTAGCTAGACACTGTGGCCTGCCAAGGCTCAGGGCCTGAAGCCAGTGTGTTGAAAGGGGACATTAGTCAGTGGTGTCCTGACTCAGAGGTACAAATCCTGCCATGTTTGCAGTGTGACACAGTACTGTGCCTGGGGTCACAGGAGATCTTCCCTGGCTTTGGGAATACTCTCTGGTGGCCCCTCTAGCCCTGATCCCAGGACATTCTTCAGCCAGTTCCCTCCCCTGTGTTTGCCGAGTTCCACGCACACATGAGCATTGAGTGTACCCACATGCACGCGCGCACACACACACACACACGCGCGCGTGCGCGCACGCCATCACAACTCTGACAGCTTGCTCATGACCTAGGTGCTGGGTAGGTGTCCAGAGCTCATCCTGGGCCCAAGGAGCTTGATTTCCAAAGTGCTCAGACACCCAGGCAGTGGGGACCCCACGGGCCTGAGACATCATTTTCTCCTTCATGGCTGTCCCCAAGCTAGAGTAAGAAGCCACAGTGACAAAAATTAACTAGAAGATACAGAAGAAAGTTATCAGCAGTACTGGAACTGGAGGTGGAACTCCAGTGGGTCTCCATCACTGAACTACATTCCCAGCACCTTTTATTTTTAATTTTGAGACAGGGTCTAAATTTCCCAGGCTGACCTTGAACTTGTGACCCTCCTGCCTCAACCTCCCAAGTTGCTGGTATTACAGGTTTCATTTTGAAGTGACTACCATACCCAGGAGTTTCATCTTTAAAATTTGGAGCTTCTTTGGAAAATTGATAGACTCAATTTGATCTAGGAACCCCTTCTCTGGGCACCTCTTGGGACCAAGCCATCTCTATCACACTGAAGCCCATACTCTAAGCTCTCAGCATCTGGGGGAGCAGATTCTGAAGGACTAAGGTCTACACCAGTGGACAGTGTTGTCCCTAAACTCCCAAGAACCCTTAGGCTGAGTGTCTGTCCTCATGGATTAGAGGGATCTCTGGCATCTGCTACATCAGGCTGACTCTTGGGCCTCGGACCCATGGACAAGCCATTTGGGAAGCCTTCAGATGGAGAAGAAGGCACATCCCTTCTTGTATTGCCTTCCCAGTCTAAGATTGGCTAGCCCCAGGCCACCTGGACCTATGCCCTTGTTCCCCCGGTTTGGAGATCCCTTGACCCAGTGACCTCAGGGGGAAATGAACCCGGGAGACCTGAGGGCCAGCCATAAGCGAAGGTCTACACAGCAACTTACACGCCCGGCTGCATCCTCGCTGATGGGGAAACCAAAGCTCAGAGAGGGTACATGACCTGCCCAGGGCTAAACAACCAGCACAGTGTGATGTCTTCCAAGTCACATCTGGGCAACCTCTGAAGGCCCAGAGGTCCCACTGTGCCCCTGAGTCTAGACGAGTGAGTGAAAAAGCAAGTTAACAAGGACTTGTAAAAGGTTGAGCCAAGGGATGGGAGAGATGGGCTAAGGAGCAAGTGGGTCCTGAGGCTGGACGCCCTGGTAGAGGAGGAGGGAGAGGAAGTGGAGGAGAAGCTGGAAGGACAGGCTGCCCTGAACCCCTGCTGGGTGGTGTCCCTTGCAGGTCATCGCCACCATCCCCACGAGCAGGCTCAAGTTCCTGAAGGAGGCAGGCAGGCTCACGCAGAAGGAGGAGATCCCTGAGGAGGAGCTCAACGAGGACGTGGAGGAGATCGACCACGCCGAGAGGGAGCTGCGCCGCGGCCAGATCCTGTGGTTCCGGGGCCTGAATCGGATTCAGACACAGGTACAGGAAGCCCCAGGGTGGGGCCCAGGCCTTGCTGGCAGATGGTGGCAGAGGTCAGTGTGTGCCTGCCATCCCCAGAGCTGGCTCTGGCACCGAGGGTGGCCACAGAAAGGCCCAGGGGACTTTCATAGCGCCCTGCAAAGAGTACTGTAAGGCCCCAGACCAGCCCTCACTGTGTCACCAGCCACTCGCACACGACGCTCCTTATACACACACTCATGCTGCTACAAGGACAGAGCAGCCTCCTCAGGAAGACTCCATCACACCGTGGCCCCCCCCAGGAGCCGCTGCAGGGGTTATCCCACCCTGGGTTTCCAGGAGAAGTCCCTTGGGAGGGTGGTAGAGGGGCAGCTCTGAGGGCTGAGGTGAGTGAGGGGACTGTGGTGGCTGGGGACGGCCACCAGGAGGGGTAGGGCAAGGCTAGGTGGAAGCCACAGGCCAGGATTGCCTCACGTTTTCTCAGGGCCCCGGGGTGAGACCTTTATGCACCCACGCACATCCTCTGCCCCCACAAGGGCTCCAGACACTCCCCCAGACTCCCACAGGTGGTCAAGGAGGCCCTGGGGAGCAGGTACACAGACACACCCGTGCCTGCCACGCACACGCGTGGGGAGCCACCATGCGACATGTAATAAACCATGTCACTCCACAGGCACAAGCCTCATGCTCACCCAGAGCCCCCTCCCCCAGTCAGAGGCTGTTCACAGGCATGCTGTCACCATTCTGTGAGGCCGGGATCAAAAGGGGACCAAAACCAAGAGAGAGGTCTCCTGACCTGAGAGACCACCAGGGGCACTCCAGCTGGGGAGGTCATCCTTGATCCCTCCCTGACCCTCTGGGAAAGCTTGGCAAAGAGCCACCGCAGCACCTCGGTCTCCAGAGGTGGACTAGCAACTTCATTTCTGTCCTGTGCTGCAGGTGGTTCCCCTGGGCCACTTCTCACCCCACAGTGCCAGTCCCAAAACTCATCTCATTTGACCTTTATGGCCTGAGAGGACAGGTGGGTCTGCCTCCCCAGTTCTAGAAGCCACTCAGCCCCTGAGGTGGCCCTTCTGCTGAGATGGCATGACCCGGATGGGACAGGGAGTGGGTTTCAGACCCAGAGCTACCTGATGCAGCCTGGGCACCCCCTTCCCTAGCCAGGACCCCAGTGGCCCCACTTCCTGTGGGGGCAGAGCATCCAGTGGCTCCAGCCCTGCGACTATCACTGTCCTGCAGGTCTCCAGATTGCTGGAGGAACCAAAGACTGTAGTTTCTAGAGTGGGCATGAGCAGAGCATACCCATACCCGCCTCTTCCTGAGCACTAACGTGGGCCTGGTGTTTGCCGTTTGCAGATAAGCCTGCCAGGTAGATGGCTTTGCCCCTTCTTAAGGACAAGAAACAGGACTCAGACAGGGGACTTGCCCAAGGTCACCTAGCTAGTAAGTGACAAAAGCCAGAATTTGGACCAAGGTCTGCCCACCCCAGAGCCCCCACCACAATGCTCTTGGCTCCAGGCCTGGCCCAGGGAGGCTGAGCAGCTACTCTTCTGGCCAAACAGCATGCTCACCCCCAGCCACCCCCAGCCTCCCCCATCCACGGTCCCCAGCCCTTAGCACAGGGGAGAGGCTGGAACCCTGTGTCCTCCCGGGGACCCTGGGGCCTACAGATGGGCCCGGAGCTGAGCAGACATCTTTCAGAGCCTTGGAGTGTGTCTGGTATTTTTTGTTTTGATTTAAGTGACTGTTGTCGTTGTCGCCGTGGCTGCGGCTGTTCTCGTGACCTTGCGCCTGTCAGTTGTGTAGCTGTCGTGTCCGTTCTTCTCGCAACTTGTCTCGTTCTCTCCTCCGTTGCAGATTGAAGTAGTCAATACATTCAAGAGCGGGGCCTCCTTTCAGGGGGCCCTGCGGAGACAGTCCTCCGTCACCAGCCAGAGCCAGGACGTAGCCAATCTCTCTAGCCCTAGTCGCGTGTCGTTGTCCAATGCTCTTTCCTCTCCGACCAGCCTTCCTCCTGCTGCAGCTGGGCGTGAGTGTGACTCCTTACCGCCTCTGCTGGCGCCACCAACGCCAGCCCCCCGGGGCGGGCAGGGGCAGGGGTGCCAGAGGACGTGGGGGGCAGCTGGTCACGTCAGGCCCAGGGGGCTAAAGGGTCACTACCACTGAAGAGGGTCCCAGTTGGTCAGGAGGTCATAGCCAGTCACTCAGCAGGCCAGGGTCAGCTAGGTCCAGGGGTTACAACCAACCTGTCAGTGTCGTTAGGGTCACAAGCAGTCCAAAGGTCTGAGTCAGAAGATCACCAGTGGACAGGAGGGTTTGGGTTTCAGTGATCTAATGGTCTCAGTCCACCACAGGTCCCAGAAGCCAAGACAGGCAGTCATAGAGCTGGCCAGAGTGTCATCTAGTTTAGTTGTACTTTGTCAGGAAAAGCCTAGCCCATGACGACAAGGGTCAGAGTTGGCCTGCAGGTCACAATCTTGCAGTCAAAGTCAAGCAATGGGTACTGTGGGTCAGGGTAAAAGCCCCTCAGGGGTAATAGTGGGATCCCACCAAGAGAGAGGTCATGTCATCTCGGCTTTCCCAGATGATCAGATAATACCTAATGGTGTTGGAAGTCATGACCAAGAGGGACATACAAGCCAAGAGGTCACTGTAGGCCAGAGGTCACCATCAGTCAGGAGTCCCAAAATTCTGAAATCTCCCTTCTAGAATGTCCCTCCCCTTGCCCATCTGATGGCATCAGGGGACTTACAAACACTTCCCCTACTAGAAGTCGGGACACGCTAAATTTCTGACCCCCTCCTGGAAAAGACAAGGCTCCTGCCCATGGGTGTGGGGCATGCCTCACATCTCTTCTGGGTGCCAGCAGGCCCGGAGGGTTCAGGTCTAACCTTTGGCATCCTGTCCTTCTTTATCTGAGGGTCCGAGGGACTGTGAGCCCTCCTTCATCTCCCTCTTCCTCTCCTCATGCCGCCCCTTCTGACCTGAGTCCCTCATCTCTCATCTCTGGATTTCCTGGCTTCTCCGTGACTTTAGGCCCCAGAAGGAGTCAGTCTGTATTTCCCAGATGCTCCCTGGTTTTGTCTCCAGTTAGACCCCCCCACACTCAAGGGAGTCCCTGGGTCCAGTGTTCCCACCAGACAGTGGGAAACAGACTCCAGGCCTTACCTCTTGATGCTTCATGAAGTGCCCCTACCTGCACCCAAAACCACAGCAGCCGCAACGCTCCTCCCTCCCCAGTAGGGTGTGTGTGGTGTGGGAGCTATTCCATATGACCACAAAGAACCTGATCCTGTCCATGGCCTGCGCTCATCTCCTGCCCAGTTCACAAGACTGCAGGAAGGATGCAGAAAATGTTCATTCATTAGCACAAAAACACAGCGATGGGGTGACCAGATGCGCCACGGGATGTGGACATGTATGTAAGCAGCTGGTGTCTGAGTCATGTTCCCATAAGGTGCCGTCACTAGGAGATCACTGCCAGGCTTTCTCTGGGCAGGAAACACTTTAGTCCCAACTTCTATGGCCTTCAGACCAAAGCCCTCACCCCAGATGACTGTTGTACTCTTTCCTGTCCCTGTAGCAGCTTAACTTTGACCGTGCACAGCACCCCACCTGTCTAGAAGTGCAGTCTCCAAGTGTTCTGGTACGGAGACACCCCTGTTGGTGACTCCAGAATTGCTCTGAGTGACCCTGATTGCCAGGACTGTGGCTCCTGGGTGCAAGCTCAGTTCTTTTTTCCATTCCCTTTAACCACTGAGCCACATCCTCAGCCCTGCTTTTTTATTTTATTTTTTTTTATTTTTGAGACACGGCCTTGCTAAGTTGCTAAGGCTGGCCTCGAACTTGTGATCTTCCTGCCTGAGCTCCCTGGCCACTGAAATTACAGGGGTGCACCACCTTGCCTGGCCTCTTTCAGCCTCTTTCTTGAAGCACAGTGCTTTGCACCGGCCAGGACAGAACTCACCCAACATTCCTGGGCACCCACACAGCCTTGGCAGACCCTCCCTGGGTTTAGTCCCTCAGCTTAGCCCTCACGATCAAGAAGAAAGCTCAGTCCACTCACACCTCCGCGCCTCCTTCTCACTCTTCTTTTGTGTCATTTGTAAAACCATTCAAGGAGGCCAGTAGTGGGACAGTACTGTTCCTTCAGAGAAATGCACCTCTATGCCCACTCTTAAACTCCCTCCAGCCCAGATCAGCCCCCCTTATCCCAACTGACCTCAACTTTGGAAAAAGCCTCTGAATGGAGCTTAGGCAGAGGCTGTCCCAAAGCTGACCTACTGGTCCTCACCCCTGACCCTTCATTCTCCCAGAAGCCCCAGTGGGGTTGGTCACACCAACTCCCTCACCCAAGCCCATCACCAGGAACCTAGCATTCCTACCCTCTTGTTTCAGAGTCCAGCCTATAACTGGGTCCCAGAAGGGCATAGGGTCCCAAAAAGAACCTCACCATCTTCTTGCCCAAGGGCACGGGCTCCAAGAGAGATCCCAACCTCTGTAGTCTCAACATTCACATTTGGTCATGAGGGTCACTGTGCAAACACTAAGTAAACATCCCTAGTCCTTTGCTTGAATAGTTTCCATAACAATGTCACCTCCTCTGGTCTCCAAGGACTCTGAGGACCCTCTAGATATGAAACAAGGTCCCTTGAGAAGCCAAAAATGCTTCCTGCCCACAGGGAGGTTTGAATCAAGTGGCCAGGACACAGCAGCAGGGCCCCATTGGGTGGATAGACAGGGGCTGCCCCCACAAAGCAGGATCTACACATTGGGGGCTCTTCAGCAAACATGGCCATGTGCCTGCCGAGGCACAGAGAGCTGCAGTCTGTGTGCCCCTAGAGGAGTCAAACCACTGTCCCTAGCCAACAAGAGTTGATCACCAGCCTGGACAACTTAGCAAGGCCCTGTCACAAAATGACTAGGAAGAAAGGACAGTCTACCAGCATGTTAATGGAACAGAGGAAGACACTGACAGACACCCACAGCAAAGGAGTGGCGAGAAGTCTGTCCCCTCATTGTCCCATCACCCCATACCACTTCCCAGACAGGTCCACAGACCTGGAGGCATGGAGGCTGAACTTCCATTCCACAGCGGGCACCCACACCCACAGGCTCACTGGGAAAAGTCCCCCAGCCTGGTAGGGAACGAGACACAGCATGATTTCCCACTCGTGACCAGAACCCCATTCGGCTCTTTCATCAAACGCCAGGCTGCACGGCCTCTTCTTCCCCTTCTCCCCCTCAAATCCTAACTCATCTCAAGCCATCTTTGTCCTGAGCAAGTCTGTAGCAGGTTCTATGTTCATCGGTGAATTCCTGCTCCTTCAGACCCACTCGTGAGCCAGGCCTGGGCCACATTCTGGACACCATGCCTCCCTAGACAGACAGGGGACCACCTGTCCTGGTTTTGAGGACTGCTAGGGCAAGGAGTGTGCAGTGAGGAAGAGAAATCAAGACAAGGAGGAGGACAGAAAGCTGGACCTCTCTTTAGCATTTTGGTAACTCATTTAGGCGACTTGGGTTGGCGAGAAAATGGCTTGCTTCTGGGTTGGGGGGGGGGCCCCCAGACCTCTCCACTGTCTGAATATGCCATGTGTTTGTTTCCCTAGAGGGCTAGAGAACCCTGGACACAGAGTTCAGCAAGAGAGAGTGAAATTAAAACAGGTTGTGAGTCTTTAACCTTGAGCCTGAAATGAATGTGAATCAATCCCAGACTCTTGGCTTCCTTGAAGCCGGGTAAACATTCGAGTATGTGGAACCCAGGAAGCATCTCAGAGAGGGGCCTGTGCATCCCCCAGAGCCCTCCCGTAGCGCCAGGTGCCCTGTGCTGACCAAGCCACACCAGCTGAATCCCGCCCACTGGGTCCTTCCTCTTTCCTGGTCCCTGTACCCAAACTTGGCTTCTGCCCCCAAGTCCCATCTCCACGGCAGGCAGGGAGGGGAGATGGAAGAGCATTTTTTTCTTCCCATATATATTTTTTTCCATTTCAGCCACAGAGAGAACCGAAGTGGAGACTTGAGATGGCCGTGGCGGGGTGTCCCGAAAAGTCTTGTCCCCACAGTCTTGTCCAGAGCAGTTCATTATTTCTGTTGTCTCCATGCCAGGGGGAGGGTGGAAGGGCCTCATCTCATTGTGTGTCGTCCCCTCTGCGTTGTCAGTCACATGACAGGGGCCTGCCACTGTCCCCTTCCCCCACACATGCACCAAGTGCTCCAGCCGGCATCTCAATGCACATCAGCCTCAGAAAGCCCATGCACTAGGGCAGTGCTAGTGACACTGATTACCCCATTTTACAGATGAGAAAACTGAGGACTTTTTGTTTTGTTCTGCATTTTCTCTCAGTCAATGGTGTGATGGCCCATATATCCAGAGATCCGAGTATTCATCATCCCTACAGAGCCACCAATAGGGAAGTCGGGGCAGCCAAGGGGGCCATCACAAAGTGCCAGCACTAATGCAGTGTCTGGCCAACTCTGTTGTCTCTTATTTAAAGCATGATTCTAGCAAGTGCTGGACTCTGGAGGGACTCTGGAGAGACAGAGATGCTCCTTCGAAAACATGCGGAAGTCAGCACTGATAACTGATATCCCACAGCAGAGGGGAACTTCAGGGGGGAGGAGAGAGCCAAATGGGGTGACCTGGCACCAGACCAAGAAGGACGACAGCAGAACCCAAGTTAAACTCTCCCTGTGTTTGTCCTCAGAAGGCAGAGCGCACATGAGAGCTATAGAAGCCCTCTCCCAAAAACAGTGAAATACACCTCAGTTATGATACACGGAATCACCAACCAGAGGCACCCAGAAAATCCACTCCCAGGGAACAGGCTTCCACACCATGCCATCAGAGGAGCCAGCCCTGGGGTTAGCCCAGAGCTCAGGCTGGGACTTCTAGGGCCTCCCCACAACCATCTCCACACGGTCCTCTGCTTCCCTGCAGGCTGGAGGTGTCACCAAGGCCCTGCCCCTCGGCCCCACCCCCCATACGCACTCCATACCCAGCCACCGTGTTCCTCCACCTCTCACTCTGCTCTGAGTTGGGGCTGGGAAGAGAGCACAAGGCACCTTTGTCCCGAGGCCCATCAGTCCCCTGAGGTGACAGGCATGTCCCCTCTCCCAGGAGCCCAGAGAGGGGATACCTCTCTCCCAGGTGAGGGTCCTGCCCCTCTGCACCCTGTAAGGCAGGACAGAGCATGACCAGAGAGACAGTGTGGGTCTCCCACAGCCAAGGCACAAAAGGCAGCAGAGCCAGAGCCCACACTTGGGTCTCTTCCTACTTCCAAGTCCCCGTCCACTGTCCTTGAAGACCCAATGAGCAGCCTCCTTCCAGTCTTCAGGGGAGGCTGAGCCTCGTTGCGTACGTAGCTCACCACTGACAAGAAACACTGTACACGCCCCCCGGAAGTGCCCGGGGAGGCTGGGCATGGCCATCTGCTTCTGGCCTCATTTTTTGGTTTTGTGTTTTCAAAGCACAAATAAAGAAATGAACAAAACACCCCAGGAAACCAGAGAACCCCCCCCCACCACCAAAGCAAGCTCCACTGACTGGCCAGGGCTGTGAGTCTATACTCGAGTGTTTACCTCCCAAATGCATGAAGGAAAGAAACGCTGGGTACAAACGATCTCGTTCACATTGTCCAGGCTTCCAAGTGTAGCCGTGTGTCCGTCTGTGTGTGCTGTGTGGTTCCTGACCCTGCTGTGGCATGCTCCCTGCCCCTGAATGTCACCATCTGCGGCTCCTTCGTGCTTTCTGGCTGCCTCTGCTCTGCGCCTCAGAAAGACCTGAGCTGGCTTCATCCGCTTTGCTGCCTCAGTTTGACGTCCCCGTTCTCTGTTTGGCCTCGTGTGTCTTCTCTCATCCCCGCTCATCCAGCCGTCTCTCCTTCCTGTTCCTTTACTGTGTGACACGTAACCTGTTCCATGTGGTTTGGTTTCTTAACTGTGTGTGGTTTTGGGGGGGGGGGGGGTTTTCGGTTTATTTTTAAGATTAATTAAAAAAAAAAAAAGCCTTTCCTCTTTCCCCGTCTCTTCCCCTGCCCCTCTCCCTTTCTGCATGGTCGAACCTCTGCTGTCAAGTTAACCAGGCTCAGTCTCTCACTAGGTCGGGGTGCCCGTTGGAGTGGACCATGCTTCCGTTCACCACTGTGTCCCAGCATCTCTTTCATGGTGCTTGATGACCCTCCTGTCCTAATACTGTAGTTCTGACCAAAACCAAAGCCATTTTTAAAACCCAGCTCATGGATGCACATCACCTGAGCCCCTCTGCCATTCTTCCCTCCCTGCGAGGCGCATAGCACCCAGCGACTGTGGACTCCAGCCGCCTGCTGCCCTCACCCTCCTCCAGCCCCATCCTCTGAGCCCCCCGGAGCCCCCGCAGGCCCCAGGGCTGCTCCTGAGCCCTGTGCTTCCCTTGCAGATCCGCGTCGTGAAGGCGTTCCGTAGCTCTCTCTATGAAGGGTTAGAAAAGCCCGAGTCTCGAACCTCCATCCATAACTTCATGGCTCATCCTGAATTCCGGATCGAAGATTCACAGCCCCACATCCCCCTCATCGACGACACCGACCTGGAAGAAGATGCCGCGCTCAAGCAGAACTCCAGCCCGCCGTCGTCGCTCAACAAGAACAACAGCGCCATCGACAGCGGGATCAACCTGACGACCGACACGAGCAAATCAGCTACCTCTTCAAGTCCAGGGAGCCCCATTCACAGCCTGGAGACGTCGCTTTAGCTGAGGACCCTGTTGCCCACCCGCCGGCCCGCCCTAAGGGACCCGCTGCCACCGCTCCCGGGCACCCACCCTCCAGGCACCCGACTCACCCACGCAGCAAGGAGCAACCCCAGGAAACCAAATACTGGAGAGAAAACCGACGTTTCCACCCACAGACCTTTCTCTGGCTGCGATGCTGTTTGAACAATTTTTCACTTCGAGGCAAGGGCCGGGTTCCCGGGGGCCTCTGGGAGGAGTGAGCAGTTATCCCAAAGGGAGCCTTTGTTGGCTCCCACTCAAGACATGGACCAGCCATGCACCCACCCGGCCACCACGTCCCCCGCATGAATGTACTGGACACTTTCCATCCTCCCCTTGTTTGGTTTTGGGGGGGTTGGAGAGGGGGAGGGGTTTTTTGTTCGTTTGTTTTCTTAGGCGGGAACTGCAAACAGGACTCTTTTCTGAGACTATTTATCCGATCCACTGGTCTGTGAGTTTTTGAAATGCTTGCGCAGCATGGTCTCAGTTGTATAGATTAATTTAATAACTTTTTGAAATCGCAGAGCTTAACTCGCCTAGTAGATTTGCACCAATGGAACCGAAGAACTTCATAGACACTCACGAGGTTATATCCATTTCTTTGTATCTATATCAACGTATACTTTCCAAGACTGTATACGTCCATATAGATAGGTAGATATATATATATATATATAAATATATATACATGGATATATAAAGTTTCTTTGCCGGCATGTTGCCTTGTTTCTGCTTAAATTGCTCTATTTTAACTTATTTATGTCCTAAAAGAAGAATGTAATTTGTTTACAAACCTGTAGATAATGTCTTTGGCTATTTGTACGGTTCAAGAACACTGGTGGCTCAGATGCTATAAAAATAGCTCGGCCCAACAGACACTTCCCCTGGATTGCATCCTCGATGTTTTACAATAGCCATGCTCTGATTTTTGCCTGCTATTTCCGTTCAATGATGTCACTACCATGGGAGGCTCAGGCAGAAGCCAAATGCTACTGAGGATCCATCCGGAGGTGTTCAGCCATAGGCTCCGTAGACGAAGGGAGAAGAGGAGAGAAGGTTTCCTGGGTTTGTGGCACCAGCGGCTGTCACGGCCCAAGGATGTCAAAAGCACTGGCTCAAGACTTTTCTCTCAATGAAACTCGCTTGAGTTTACCAAGAGCATTTCCAAAATAGGTTGTCTTTGGCGCTGTCTGCACAGAGGTTGAGGTAGTGTTGAAATATTATAAATGCTATTGTGTTGATTTTTTTTTTTAGTTGGTAATTTAGAAGTTTATTTCCTTATAAATGGCAGCGTATAAGCTGTTGGCACACTGGATGAAGATCGGTATGGCTTGCTGCTTTTATTTTTATTTTTGAAGAAGAATAGCCTTTTTCTCTGCACTATTTAGATCCGAATGAACCTTATGATGTGTATATTGAGATGTATTCAGTGTGATTTTTAAACCAAATTGTCTTCCTTTAGCCACAATATATACTGTAACCTGTAACAGCAAGTCTTGCTTCCCCAGACAGAAAGCCATTCTGAAACCCTCCCATATCACAGGTCAGAAAAGGTGGCTATTTTCCCCCCAAGACAATAACGGCACTAGTAATCCCACTTAATAAGAGCTTATTTAATTGTCTGTCGGCCTCTTAACTGCTAAGCACTTTGTGGGTCTCAGCTTTTTTCATAAAAGAACTTTTGTATTTAATACAAAGTTTGCTTTGAGACTTTTCAGCATACAATCTTTTTCCATAAACTTGTACAGTGCAAAAGACATTTTGAATACCATGATCGATGATGTCCCATGCTTCAAGGAAAACCAAACACTTCCCGCCTCGCTTGCAAAGTCCATTCCTCACACTGACCCTTCCCCACAGTCATTTCGTGTCCGCCTGGCCCCTGCCCCTTCTCCAGGCCCAGAGAACTCTTCCACTACCAAGATGAGAGCCACCGGGAAAAGAGCCATAGTCAGCTGGGAGGGCCCGTGTCTGCACAGCTGTGGAAAAACCTGACAGCTTTGGGGTTCAAAGTCAGCCCATCCCACCTGGCAAAATCTTTCTCTAAGGATGACCTTCCGTGCAAAAGAGCATCGCCTGAGTGTCACTAAGAAGTCTCTCTGAATGTATCCAGCAGAGGAAACACCACCCTCGGATGCGCTTATTGGATTCTAGTATAAACACCACCAAAGCCAGCCCACTCGCTCCTCCGAGGAAGGAGAGACCAGCACGCAGGAAACATGGGGCAGCCCTGGAACATGGTAGTTTCTTTCGAAGTTTTCCTTTCTCACGTTTTTTCCCATCTTCCCCTTCTTTGTTCAATCACGTATCTGTGACCTCATTCCATGATATCAGGATGGTCGTACTTGCTCACCAGACTCCCCTGTGCTCCTGGAGCCGGGATGCAAGGCAAATGGGAGGGGTGCTCTGAGCAGATCCCAGCTGGGGTGACAGGGATCCATGGAAGCCACCAGGAAGGCCCGACATGGGCGTCTGGTCTTCTCTCGTCGGGAATGATGGACAATCGCACACACAGACCCCTCACTCTCAAACTTGCACACATCCACACACGCACGCACACAGGAAATGGTTGGTTTGTCACAACTCACTGTAGTATACAAAGCTTGCACTCTGCGTCCTATATCTAGCAGCATGGGGTACGTTTGGCAGATCACCCCATTAGGGGGTAAATAATTTATGACCATTCATCTGTTTTTATGAATTTTTTTATCTAGACAATAATTGTAAATAAAGAACTCACCGTCTCTGTTCATTTAATACTATGCAATGGGTATGCTTTCAATTGCCGACTCTTCTGACTCCCACAGTGTGGTTCTGAGATGTGGTTTCAGGAAAAAAAGAAAAAGAAACACCATCAAGCAGAACATAGTCAATATATACTGTGTAAATTATGCTGTTCTCATTTGGACTACACACTCTGCTTCTGTCCTGTCCTCTAGACCCAGGCTCTAGGAGAAGGTAGGAGGGAGAGCTCTGAGGTCTAAGCTCCCCACCTCATAAGAGATGAGGGAAAAGCAGAGACGTGTTCAGTGACTCCTGATGCTACAGGTTGACCTACCTTTGGAGGAAGGAAGGGAGGGCTCTTCCTGCAATATGGGGCTTTCTCTAACTCAGGAGCAGACCCCAGTGCTCCACAAACCTCACCAGGGCCCTGTGTCTCAACCCCAGCATAGAACTGGCAAGAGCGGGGGCACCCTGCTTCTGAGAGCACATTGCTCTTGAGCCAGGACTCTGAACCTTGACACTCAAGAGCCCCTCTGCCCAACTGTGTTAAAATGACGCGTCTATCCCTCCTGACGTCCTATGTAGTCTTGGGCCTTTCTACAATTTATCTTCTATTCCCTCATCTGGATGTCTCCTCTGGCCCCAGCCACACTGTTTTGCTTACTGTCACTTTGGAATGTTTTATTCTGTGGCAGGGTGAGTTTCCTTCACCCTACTTGAACAAAATCTCCTAGTTATTCTCTCATATCTGTTCTTCTGAGGTAATGTTAAAAATCTGCCAAGACCTCCATCCTCTGCCCTCCTCCCAGCCCAGATTCTGGGTCCTGTCACCCTATGTGCCACCCCTCTCCCCATATTGTAATTACTGCTCCCCAGGGTCACTAAATACAGTGTGTCCTGTCAGAAGGGACAAAAGGGGAATCCTGAATCTCGAAGGAAGCCTGATGTCCCTCCTGTCATTTCACCTGTTGCCCAGGCCTAGGAGTTGTGAGACAGAGTCCACTGAGCCCCCACCCAGCCTTAGCTTAGGAACCAAAGTCACCTCATGATTATGCAGAGGTGGACCCTCCATCTTCCGCCAATCATCAGAAGATAAAAAGGGGTTCTCCTAGACCCAGAGCTATGAGGGTGAGCTCGGAGAGAATGTGGGGCCCATGCTGTACTGTTCATGGGAGAAACGTTAGTTCCTGTCTCCACTTCCTGAACTTGTTTTTGGTTATTTTATTTCAGGTGTTTTTTTTTTTTCCAGAGAGTGGGGGTCCCCTCTTATTTAATCCAGAGCTTCAGCGCCTGTGAGATACAGAAGTTTCTTGCCCGGATGTTCTCTGTGCCCTTCCTCCCCTCACCCCATACCTGCTCTGTCTACCGGAGGCTGCCAACCTGGTGCATCTGACGAGCCTCCCCCTCAAATCTTTCCTGCAGCAACATCTGAACCCCACTTGAGAGGATCTGGCAGGGAAGGGCTGCTTCCTGAGGGCTTTAGGGTCTTCCAGAGCCAAGGCCATAATGGGACAACAGGAAACCCCAGGTCTTTTCCAGATTCCAAATCAAGCTCTCCTGATGTAAATGTAGAGATCCCACCACCCAAAAGGCAGGAGACGGAGCAGGGAGAAAGATCCCAGGCCCTGGGCAGCTGCCATCACCACCCCTTCCAAAAACAAGAGATTCGAGGCTTGTCGGGGCCACCCCTCAGCCCCTCAGTCTGTTTTGTAATGTCTGTGGTGCTCTCCCTCCCGAGCTGTTCCTCTCGGGGGTCGCCACACTTGCTAACTCTTGTGTGCACATCTTTTATAACAGAGTAGTGAGGGACTGGTGCCGCCTCCAGCTTCCATAAGCTGCCCGGGCTGTGGGGGGGGGGGGGGCTCTGGGACAATCGGGGCTGGGAAGAGACTGTGCTCTTACTGTACACTCTTTATTTCTCTGTATCTCTGGCTTGTGCTCTTTGTAACTAATGGGATTTGTCTGCCTTTTCAACACTATACTGAGCAATAACAATAAATGCACACGTGGAAATGCAGGCATGCTTCCCATCACAAAGCCTTTTTCTGAAGGACAGCTGGGCCCCCACCCTCTGTGGGTTTAAATTTGGGGAAGTCAAGCCCCTGGTTGGGAAGGACACTTTGCTCTCCCTCTACTAGGTCGCACCTTTTGACCACCCACCAAATGAAGGAGGCAAACTTAACCTGACCATCTTAGAAAGACTTTGCGGGGGGAAAGGCCTCCAGAGGATATAAAGAAACTTTGGGCCAAAGGGACTGGGAGGTGAAGGGCACAGGTTGGAGAAAGCTAAGAACAACTTGGGGTCTGGGATTAACCAGAGGGAGGAGACGGGAAATACAGACATAGGATACAGGTGGCATCTTCCACTGGGGAGGGGGAAGACAGAGGGAGTCTGAACTTTGCCAAGCTCTGCTGAGCATTGGAAGAGAAGGAGAATATTCCCAGACTGAGAAACAATTCTCAATGTTGCTTCAAAAGCTGAGGTTTATACACACACCATCCCAGCTCTTCTCAGGTTGAACTGATGCTTAGAACAAGCACCACTGGCCCATCCTACTTCCAAGTAATTACACATCCAAGGTTCGTTTATTTAACATCAGTTCTCAGAAGCAGCATTACAGGTTGAGCATCCCTAATCCAAAGATGTTTTGGGTGCTGATATAACATCATGAGTAAAAATTACACACCACAAACCTTCACTTCATGCAAAAATTTATTAAAAATACTATATAAAAGTGTTTGTGTTTAGACTTGGGTCCCATCCCCAAACCATCTCACTATGAATATGTGAATTTTCCATATCCCCAAAAATCAAACATTTCTGGTCCCAAGCATTTCAGGTAAGAGATACTCAACCTGTACTATATTTCCCACTTTCCAGAGAAGGAAACAGCAGCTCAGAGAGGTGAATGAAGAATTTGCCCATATAATAAGCAAGAGGTGTGGTACTGATACCTGTCCGTCTTGATGCCAGGATCAGCACCTAAACTTCTGTATAACAAAGTCTTTCAGTCCCGCTCACAAATATCTTGTGAGTACAAATATGAGTAAAATACATACCCATTGTTTGTCCCAAATTTTCTGTTTCTTCAACCTCAATGTTTACACCAGGAAATTCCATTAATAACGACTACGCTGCTGCATTATATTTAAATTATATCTAATATGCCTCTATGCCAATTTCCCACTGGCTCAGAAAGAATTGACCTGATCTTATCACCCAAATCAGTGATGCAACTACCCATCCAAGACTAGGGATCCCTTGAAGAACAGGAGACCAACAGGTCCCCCTTGGCTGTGTTTCCTGCTCTATCCTAAGAACCACTCCCTCTGGGCTGGGGTTGTAGCTCTGCAGCACAGTGTTTGCCCCACACATGTGAGGCACTGGGGCACTGGGATCAATCCTCAGCACCACATAAAAATAAACAAAGAAATCGTGTCCATCTATAACTAAAAAACATTAAAAAAAAAAAATCCCCTCATGCCCCCACAATATTTCTTCATTGGAGAGAAATAAATCTCAGAAGCTGGAGTGGGGGTGGAAGGCTGGCTTGCTTCCTGAGGCTTAGTTAACAGGGAACTCCCCTGGCCTCCTCTCCAATGCTCCTTGACAGCTTGTGCCTATCAACACCTTCCTGGGGACATCACTGAGCAGGATTTGTAGCCCCAGTTTCTACAGAGGAAACTGAAGGACTGTGACTCACTAAAGAAAGCAAGTCTCCCCTGTAAGCTGCTTGCCCCCTAGTACTTGAGTGGGCCCAGGCCTAGACCATGTGTGGCCCAGGCTCTGTGCTGCAGTGCGGAATTCTCCATGTGCTTGTGGAGAGATCCTTGGCTGCTGCCCTCCCTTGGGAAAGCCAGGCATCTAGGAGGAGTTGGGGACACTGAGGGTTGGACTCCTGGACTCCAGATACAGGAGCTTGGCTGAGGTCCTCCACGCCTGGGGGAATCTACCTGATGAGCCAGCCAGCCTCACAGATCCCAGGCTTTCCGTTTGCAAGGGGAAATTTGGAGTCTCTAAAGTCATAGGTCCTGGGGCTCAGGGACGGCAGGGCGGTCCTTAGGAGGGATCAAAAATGAAGAGCTAAGACCAGACCCCACAAAATTAATCATCTTCCAAGATTCATCAAAAAGCCGGTCATACCCAGAACCGCCGAGGGGCCCGTGAAGCTGCCATTATTAATGCTTTCACTTCTAGGTCTCAGGAAAAGGGACGGCTAGGTCAGGATAGCTAACTCCCTGGAGCTTCGGAGTCCAACCGCCCCCCGCCCGGGTCGCCAAGGCAACCAGAGCCCCGCCCCGAGGATCTCCCGCGTTCCGCCAGGATAAAGAGGAGGAGCCACAGAAGGGCGGGGCGCGGCCTGTGGAAGACGCCGGACCTCCGCGCAAACCGAGCGTGTTGCTACCCGGAGGCTTCAGAGCGACGGGCCATTAGTCCTGCCGACACGGCGCCGGAAGTGAGACGTCCGGACGCGACGCCTCAGGCTGCCACGTCCGAGACCGGGAGTCGCTCTCGCAGCAGCTATGGTAAGTCGCTCTCGCCTCAGCTCAGCTGGGGTCGTGGAGCAGGGTTCGGACCACACCAAGGCTTTGGCCACGCTGAGGCTCAAAGCCCGGGCTGGGGCCGTTCAGCTCCCCCTCACTACTTGGAGGTTTGGGTACTCTGTCCGCGTCCTTGTGGACCTTTCCGAGCGGGAGACCCGGACGAGGCCGCGGCACCTCCCGGGGCCCTGCGGGCCGCGCCGCTGCCCTGCCTTCCTCTTATCCCCGTCCTCTTCCTTCCGCCATTGAAAACCCCAAACGCCATCTCGAGGCCTTAGAAACCCCAGGTGTTGCTCGTAATCTCCGCCAGCCGAGCCTCGTGAAGGTGTCGTCACCCTGCAGACGAGAAAACCTTTCGCTGAGAGGTAAAGCCTCTTGCAGAGCTAGCTGGTCAGGGGCAGAGCTGAGTTCTCGAACCTTCCTAACCCTTCCGTTCTGCCGCCTACCACCTCTAACAGCTCAATTGTGACCAGTTGAGCTCAGCGTCTCCAGGTATGAGGGGCGGTTCGGGAAAGACCAACTGAATGAGGCCGCCGTTGTTTAAAATTTCTGTGATGTCTATCGCTTACTGTTCAGTTCAATGAGCATGAATGAACTAATGAATGGGAGTCTCCAGACTGAGTTTGGTACCCTGTGGTAAATGCATGCTCTTAGGAAAATGGGTATGCCTGAGCTGCAGGTTTGAGGGAGCCTTCGTGAACCCAGGAACGAGAGCCCTGGGATTAGTTCTTGTTCTGCAGGGAGCTACTCTGCTGCTCTTTTGGCCTCTGGTTCTTAGGCTTAATAACGTTGGAAGCACTTATTCTCAGTGTTCACCTCATTCTAAGTTACTTGTGACTCGTGATTCTGAAAAGATGAATTGGTTTTTGAGTGCTGCTGCTTACTGTTTAACAGTGATAATAACAGATTATTTCAGGTTATTATTATCCTTTATCCCGCCAGGATAAAGAGGAGGAGATATTGATGAGGTGATATTGCATTCTGCTTGGGAGAACAAACGGCTTTAAAACACACTTGTTTACAAGCATGGTTCACCAATCTTGGCTGGTGGGTGAGGGTGGTTAGAAATGAATGCTGCTTCTAAAGTCCTTTAGTAATCCAGTACGAAACTATCTGTCAGCAAACTTTCTTCCTGACTCTTTCAGCCATGAGATTTAGGGAATTCAGCGCAACAACTATTTTATGTTCTCAGTGGATGTCTGGTGGAATGGATTGTGGCTGGGAGTTGGTAGATTGGGGGATGACTCTTTCCCCAGCTCTGCCTTTAGCTCTGTGACTTTTGACAAGTGTTTCTTCTTCTCTGGGCTTCTTCAGTGCCTTAGTGTGTCAGGTGATTGTAATTGACTCTGCACGTGGTACCTCCCAGGGCACATGTGAAAGCACTTTGTATCCTGACAGTTCAACGCAAGGAGACTCCTTTTCCTTTCTTGCATTTGAGGACCCTGGGAGCCCACTTTTGGAGGAGTTAGAATTTTCTGAGAGAACTGGTGCTTACTCAGCATGCGCCTCTGACCTGCTTTGCTCCCATCCTCTCCCATGATGCATCTTTCTGAAAACCTGAAGTCAGATTTTATACTTGCAAGGTTTGTGCTAGAAAGTATGAACTGGGTGAAATAGTTAAGAAAAGTCAGTACCAGCCAGTCGTGGTGGCACGTGCTTATAATCCCAGCAATTGGGGAGGCCGAGACAGAATGACAAGTTCAAGGCTAGTCTGGGCAACTTAGTCCTTGTCTCAAAATAAATAAAATAAATAAAAACCAAAAAAAAAGGGTTAGGGGTATGGCTCAGTGGTAAAACATCCCTGGGTTCAATCCCTAGTATCAAAACAAAAAGGAAAGAAATGTCAGTTCCAAACTGAAATCTTTTCAAGTCTCCTTTTCTATCCAATGAATTAGAATAATGGTTGAGCAAAGAAAAAGTAGTCAATTTTTGTTCATGTATTCATTCAGCAAATAGTCACCGAGTTCCTTGTGTTTGCAGTAGATGATTTGAAGGGTTTTAAAACTGCATGTGACTGAGTGCAGGGTTCCAGGGAGCTCCCCTTTTAGTGGAGAGAAGAAACAGCACAAAGTGTTGTAGGTGTGCAGGGCTGAAATTATGCAAGAGTCCAGCCAGTCAAGGATTTGAGAATCTTTAATGGGGGGGCTCATTTGAGCCACATCTCACAGAATGAGGAGGTTGATGCCATAACACCTGTGCCCCAGCCCTTCAAACTATTGAACCTGGATGCCACTAGGTGTGATAGTCCATCATAAGCGGTAGACCAGGGAGCTGACTCAGGAGAAGTTTGAATCAGGTCTCCAAGTCGTAGATGTTAATCGTGTTATGCATAAAGTGCCTGGGACCTCAGAGGCTGCCATCCAAGAAGGGAACGTGGACTGTAACTCCCTCCAGGCTCCACCTCACCTTCAGAGGTAGACTGCTTGTCATTCCGCAGTTCACATCGAGCTCTGTCAGACCCCTGTGTCTTTGCTG